AATTCGTAATGCCTTATCGTTAGAGCAAACCGCGTTCAGAACTAAAGCGTCCGCGATGCACTGTAAACACCGCCGAATTGTAAACATGTATATTTACAAGCATTCATAAATTCAGATCACTTTTTTCTTTGTACTATATTAGAAGATAAAACTTATTTGTTTGTAAGGTTAAAATAGAGTCTTGTTAAAGATGTTTTATTAAGAGTGCATTTGTGAATAAAGTATAGAACTGGGAATGATTATTTGTGGTTCAACCTAGCGATAAGCAGATCCAGAGACAAGTAACTTCGTCTTAAGTCGTTTTCTGACCTATGTCAGCATTCCTGGAACCAATTACGGACGTAAGGTGATATGTATATGCATATGGTTTTCTGATGGGAGAAAACGTGTTCTAAAGTTCGCTCAAAAACATGATTTTAGCCACCAACGGATTCAGTAAAATTTCTAGTATCAGAACATTATACAGCATGTCCACCATTTCTAAGGTATAGCTGCATTTCCAGAAGTATACCATATATTCAGTTGTTAGTATTGTAGAATGCACTATTGTAGGAATATCCGGAGTACTAATTTCAACCTGATATTCCTGCAGTAGTATAACATTGCTCAACAAAGACATCAAAATATCGAATGAGCAGTGGTTCTCCCAATCATCTGTTTGCCATACGGCCAAAGGAGAAAGTCATTTGGCATATGGTAGGCAGTCATTTCCCTTTTCGGCAATCCATCTTCCGCTTCAGACACTCTATCACATCATGCAGACAAATCAAAACATTGATAAAATGATGCAGAAAATACCTGACGAAAATTCGTTAGTGGTATCGATGAAATCAATTTCTTGTGATCAGTCATGAACATTGTAAGCATCATCAAATGTTCATGGAGGAAATGTCAAAGAAAATCAGTCAACAACGATTCGTCAATCTCCTCGAAACAGCTTGATATGCAACTTGTCAAAGTTGAGCTTATGGTTAGCTGGAATTGTGCTACTAAAATCTATTCCATTGAGAGTAAGGTTATTTGGTAGACGACATCTATATTTTTCTTGTAGCGCAAGACATTGTCGAACTGACTGGCAAAACATGCGTGCTTGATAACCAAATCTAAGCTTAATTACGCACCTGAGGACGGTATTCGCTCAGTTCGTGGAGTTGAGCATTAGCTGATCATTCTGAAGATCAAATTTCAGGTGATAGGCTACATAATGGTATGCCCACATAAGCAATGTATCTGAAGAGATGTAGATAAATCTGTGAAAGTATTTACTTATTTCACGTCGACTACGTCGATTTTTACTGTTTTGGCAGATCGGAATCTTTTCTATTTTAACATCTCCCCCCCGAAAAAGTTATATCAGCTGTAAACAATCAGATTACTTGAATATAGAATTCGCCATATTCCCATAATACTCATATGCTCACGGAAACACATGTTTCTTTTCAGATACGAGCCTGATGTGAGCGTTTCAAAATGTTCCAGTTCGATGAAATATTATAGCGTGATTTCCAGCTTCCACTATTTTCTTTAGATACATGCATAAATACTTTATCCTAATGTATGATTTGCTCGTACATATAGTGAAATAAATCATAAATTCAGCTTCATGTTTCAATGCTTCACATTTACAAATTCTCTTTCGAACCCCCTTCGATGTGTGTCACAGCTCTACATTTCGTTCACTCCTCTCATCTTATCCACCAAGTCGATGCAGATTACGTCCTTTTGAAATTCTCTTCAAATCTCATGGTCTCAATTCAGTGTATTCAGCACACTCGCTCACTCCATATCAAACGCTTTTTCTTCCACTTCGTCACGTATTCGTACTAGACAACAAAAAGCGCATCGTTCATCAGTGATAGACTCGTGGTGCCCTTCTACATTAGTGCACATGTGCTTACGATTGATTGCCCTTGAGTGACACAACTGACGTTTGTACTTTTTACTTCATGATATTCTGCTCATAATTCTATTATCATTTCATAGTGTTTTTGAAAATTATGCTATGCACTGATCGAAGAAATCGTGATCTGCTGAATGAATCTGTTGTTTGCGGTAAATTAGTTTTCGTGGGATAGCTTCAATGCAAGTTTGAAAATATGCTTCCACAATGCTTCAGTCAGTAGAATTTTCTCTTCATGCGAACACAGCAATGAGAAGTGCTCAAAAGGTTTTTTTTTTCAGCTGTGGATGTCTCGAGTGTGATTTTCCGAAGGGGTGATACGATGTCGGCTTGAAACTTCACATGATCTGCTGCATTTTACTGATAAGAAGAAACGAACATTCCTCTTTCTAAAAAAAATTTTCAGGATTTCTTCTTCAGGAGTTTCACCGTCTACAATTCATTTTATAACCGTATTTTGATCCAGTCCCCAATCAAATAGTGATTTCATTCGTGTGGAATTTGATTTTCTTGAACATTCGGTTTTATTGCTCTCGATTTTGTAATACAAGCACTGAAGAATCTCTCGTTTAATTTGAAAATACCTTTCCATATGATCTCCAGGTTACTGTTTTTCTTGTTATACTCACATAAATATATGCTTATCTACTGTCATTCATCATTGATATTTTCGACGAAAAGTGCATTTACAAAAGTTTGTTTTTTCTTTGTATGATTACAGTACTGTGGATAGTCTCAAGTAATCATTTCAAAGATGTTCTTCAGTGGACGAAATTTTTTTGTTGCCTCTGAGAGGATGGATGACGGCGATAAAAGCAACTGAAAAACAAGCCATTAGGTAATCGAAATTGGTTATTTGCGGCGAAATGAATGAATCGGGAGTGAGATTGTGAACGTAAAAAGACTAAAATCAAAGACAACTTTCGTGCATCAATAAACAATAAACAATCAGTTCATCATAAAGTTTATGTTAAAACACAAAGAATGAATGAAAATGATCGAAAATCGACGTGTGACTCTGTTAGCTTATAAAAAGCTGTTGACTTGTTCAGCACAGCAACTTGTCTGTGTAATCGAATTCATGGTGTATCATTCCACACATAACACTTGCTCCGTAACAACATACAGTTGCTTTGACCATACGAGTTACACGCATTCGTTCGATAAGCATCTTTCGTTTGTACGCTGTACATTCAAATGTAACCTGATTCAACTGTCATGCTAATTTAATCACTTCTTCACATAAAACACAGCCGTTCAACAGATTCCATTTTTCACATATTATATGTATCAACACTCGATATAT